TTAGGGGTTTAAGGTTTAGGATTTTGGGTTTTGGGGTTCAGCGTTTAGGGTTCAGGGTTTAGGGCTTGGGGCTTACGGTTTAGGGTTTAGGGTTTAGGTTAATTCAGGGTTTAGGGTTCCGGGTTTGTCAGGGTTCAATTTAGGGCTTAGGGTCCAGGGTTCAGGGTTTAGGGTTCAGGGTTTAGGGTTTAGCCTCAATCCTGAAGAGTAATTATGTTTTATGTATAATTGGGGAATTCCAGTACTACTTGTCATTAGTGCGGTTTCCAAGTTTTGTTGCGGGGGTTGGCTGTAGGGTTTATAGGGTGTCAAGAGTCACCGAGTTGATAAAAGGGTTTAGGGTTTAGGGTTTAGGGGCCTCAATCACGAGACCTTTGAATGTAGCATGCCATGCATATTCTACTGATATTGAGGAACCCTCGTGGATCATCTTACTCGGATTTTCCAGGCTTCCATAGTAAGACAGGAGCCCTAAACCCTACACCCGTAGTTGTAAAGGTGGTTAGGGATGAAGCTGTCCAAACTGTCAACCCTACAACCCTCAACGTTTCATAGAGCCCCTATACATCCTCCCTAATCCCTAGACGTTATACCCTCAAACCCCAACCCTGAGCAATAGAGCCCGCACCTCAACGCCAAGCCCCCTGGACCCCGAACATTCCTCAGAATCGAGGCCCTGAAATTATGGAAGCCTAAAGTACTCTTTAAGCCGGGACCCTATATGGAACCCGAAAGTGCCTGATAAGTTCATCGGGGACCCTGTACATACCCTAAACCCTAAACCCTAAACCCTAAAGCCTAAGCCCTAAACCCTAAACCCTAAACCCTAAACCCTAAACCCTAAACCCTAAGCCCTAAGCCCTAAGCCGTAAGCCGTAAGCCCTAAACCCTAAACCCTAAACTCTAAACCTTAAACCCTAAACTCTAAACCCTAACCCTAAACCCTAAACCCTAAGCCCTAAACCCTAAACCCTTTAGTCCCCTCTAAGGGTCTGAGACTTCCGAAGCTGCGCCTTCGCCCTCCAAAGCCTTACCTTAAGAACCCAAAACCCACCTTTTTGTAGGGTTTAGGGTTTAGGGTTTAGGGTTTAGGGCACCCTAATATGGGATTTATAGGGACCCTACAAAAAAGTAGGTTTTGGGTTCTTAAGGTAGACCCCATAAAGCGCCTCAAGACCTCAAGACCCCCCGAAGCCCTACCTGGACCTTAAAGACCCGAATATTTAGGGTTTAGGGTTTAGGGTTTCGGGTTCCTTAATATGATATCCTTATATATATATATATATCCCTAAACAGGTAGGCTATTCGGGGTTGAGGTAGGGGGGCCCTAAACCCTGAACCCTAAACGTGAAGACCGAGGCTACGCCTTCGCGCAGAGTGTGAAGCTGGCTGTCTTCGAGAAGATCGTAGACTCGGCCATCGATAAGGACCCTAAACCCTAAACCCTAAACCCTAAACCCTAAACCGTAGACTCGGCCATCGAGAAGGCGATGGAACCTGCGGGCTACTCCAAGGGTTTTCTTTTTCGGGTTTAGGGCTTTAGGGTTTAGGGTCAAGGGTTTGGTTTTCAGGGTTTAGGGTATAGGGCTTTAGGGTTTAGGGTTCAGGGGTTTAGGGTTTTCGGTTTTAGGGTTTAGGGTTTTGGGGTCTATAGGGTGTAGTGGTTTAGGGCTTTAGGGTTTTAGGGTTTTTGGTTTAGGGCTTGAATGTTTAGGGTCTATAGGGTGTAGGGTTCAGGGTTTATTGT